ACCAACAATGGAGCACTGGAATATGACTAGAACAACTAGTGAAATAGAAAATGAAGTACAGAGATGTACCCCAATACATCCAGAAGTTCACAATACATATAACGTAAGTATTCAAAGATGGGCTCTGAAACACATGCATAAAAATAACCAGTAACCAGATGGAAATCTACACATCATTCTGAACACCAGAGTAAATTCTAAATGGATTAAAGATACAAGTGCAAAAGTGAACCCATAAAAGTACTAAAAGAAAATATGGATATGTACATGTACCAACTCCTCACAATGAATGTAATCATTATGTACTATAAATATGTACTAATAAAAAAACCCCTAGATATCCACATATAAGTAAATGAAAAAATTTTAAATGAAATAAACCAGATATAAAAGGAAAAGACAAAAAAAGAAAACATAGACACATTCCAAAACTCATGAAGGCCTTTCAGTGACTTGAAATCCAGACACCATAAGCGATTAACATGTAAAATTTAAAGAAAAAAAAATTAAGCCTTCTGTATACCAAACTACATGAAGATAAGTGAAAAACTAGGGGAACCTGCAACTTACATCACAAAAGACTAATCCCTCCAATTTATTAATTTCTAAGAGTTGAAAAGAAAAAAATAATCCAAAAGAAAAATGTAGTGGGGCTGGGGATTTAGCTCAGTGGCACCAAAAAAAAAGAAAAATGTAAAGTACACAAACAGTTCATAGAAAAAAAAAATACAACTGGCCTTTTCACATATGAAAACACATTCAGCCTCATTCATAATGAAAGCCATGTAAATTTAAAGGGCCCCAAGTTGGCATTTCTTACCTCTCTGATTATTACAAATCTACAAAGGCTGGTAAATACAGTTTGTTGAAAAGGCTCTGGAGACACAGATATTCTCATACGTTAGAGTCAGTTCTCCTTATCTCTGCTGTCAACTAACCACCAACTGAAAATAATTTTTAAAAAATTGTGTCTAGTGCTAGCTTCGGCAGCACATATACTAAAAGTTGTGTCTGTATTTTGTATGTATAAACTTTTTTCCTTGTCATGATTCCCTAAAGAATATCGTATAACTATTTACATAGCATTTACATTGTATTAGGTCTTATAAGTAATCTAAAGATTTTAAATAAATAGAAAAATGTGCATAGGTTATGTGCAAATACTGTGCCATTTTATATAAAAATCTTGAGCACCTTTGGATTTTAGTGTCCAGAAAGGGGTCCTGGAACCAATTCTCTGTGGATGCTGAGGGACAACTACTTGTGGGAGAGTCCAAAATGGTGCAATACTGAAGAAGGAAAGTGCTTATCAAAATTACAAATGCAATAACCCACTGACCAGCAATCCCACTTCTGGGAGTGTATCCCACAGATAAGTGCACATGGATAAAGATATGTCTACAAAGTTTTGCACCACAATGTGGTCTGTGATTTTAAAAGACTGGCAACAATGCAAATATCCACAAGCAGGGGTTGGTTAAATAAACATGTTCTGTTTCAAATGTTTTCTATAAACTAATACTATATACTTCATATAAGCTAACATGAAAAGATATCAAGAGCATAAAACCAAAAAAAAGCAAGGGAGCAGTGTAAGTTACATAGTATACTACATTCTATATTAAAAAGTATGTATATGGGGCCCGGGATTTAGCTCAGTGGTTCTGCCGCCTGCCTCGTAAGCACAAGGTCCCAAGTTCAATCCCCGGTACCAAAAAAAAAAAAAAAAAAGTATGTATAGCTTAGTGACACTGGTTTGTATCTACACAAAGAAACAATGGACACCTATGAGAATGATGGGACCCAACAGTTGGAAATCAGACTTCCCAAAATATGCCCTGTATTGTTTTAGTTTTTGAATCATATAAACATTTTATCTATATAAAAGAATTTTTAAATATTAAAAAAAGTACCTAGAGAAAGAGAACTACCTATAAATCAGTAAAAATCTAACAAGCATTAAAAGAGAACTTTTCTCTGAAGTTAGATACCGAAAAGCATTTTTAGTGTGGTTACCAATAAAAATTAATATATTTTCTACTTTACTGAAACTAAAACATATGACTATAATAATCAGTATTGTTTTAAAAGCTATTTGAAGGAGTAAGGAATTAGAAGACAAAAGAGAAAGATACAATGAGAAGGACATTCTAGTCTTATGGTTCTCAAAGTGTGGTCCCTGGACCAGCATCATCAGCATCACCTGATAATCTGTTAAAATGCAAATTCTCAGGCTCCAGCCCCAAATACCAAACCAGAAACTCTAGAGTAATAGACTTGGCAATCCTGATAATTTGCACTTCAGTCTGACAGCCTGGTGCTTCTCAAAGGTTCACATGCATCACCAGGCTGCATTTCAAACAAGCTCCAGGATTCTTTTGACATGCTGCTAGTCTGGGACATTTTTTAAAATTATGTATTTTTTATTAGCAGATGTTTGCAATGCATAATGATTAAATTTATTGTGGGGGATTTGTACATGTGCAGCACAACACATCTTAATTCCTTTTTGTCCTGGGACCACACTTTGATAATCAAAGCTGAAGTCCTCTTGGGGAAAAAGGTATGCAAACAGTCTTCAAGTGGTTGAGTTTCCTAGGAAACTTGCCTTCAACATCAGATGGAAAAATCCCTTATACAGGTTTCCCAGATGAAATAACACGGTGCTAGTTTACCATATAAACTGTGTACACAGAGTAAATATTTTCAAATATATTTCTTATTAAAGTAGTAAGAACTATGAATTACTAATATTCAACTTAAAGATGTCCCAGAGAAAGCTTTTATTTATTAAGTGGACCTACAAACCTTCAGAATGGAAAGAAAAAAAAAATGAAACAAAGAAGCAATCAAAAATTCCATATGCATACAAATGCCTAGTTGTATTGCTGGAGTAACCTTACCTCAAATACATTAACCATACTACCTACGCTCCATGAAAAACCATCAAGCAATTTGTTTCCTTCTAAACCTTTTCAAAGGGGGGGTGGTTATATTCACAAAATGACTTTTTGTTCTTTTTACATGAGGAGAAAGATGTCTACAGAAGTATTCTGGGTAAAGAATTCTACTTTAGATCCATGGATCTTGAAATGTGGTGTAACCTTCATTTTATAAAGTTCTGGTGTTAAAAGTTAATGTTAACATTTTTCATATTCTATATTTCACTGAATCAAGATGCCATAACTTTCAAGACACGTTTTTGTTTTATGCACCCCTTAGAAAGAAAAATTGCCAATTAAACCACAACATGCCAATTTTAGGATGCCATTTCATGTCAGATGTGCATCTTAAAAAATCAATGAAATACAGTACCTGAATTATAAATCACCAAAGTATGTATATGGAAAATTACTCATTTTCATTCTAGTTATCTTGTCCCTCAAATGTAAAATTCCGTAAGGACATACATAAAGTCCACTCAGCAATGTAACCCCCGGGCCTAGAAAACTGAAACATTTTCAACATCTATATAATTATTTTAGGAACAGGTGAATATTTTTTTTTAAGTAATGATTTTTAAAGAGAATATTGACTTTTCTTACCCTAGAAGATGATACTGCTTGCTCAAAATAATAAGAATTACTTACTTTCAGTTTGGAGGACTTTCTAACTCAGATTCAGTATCTACTTCTACACAATTTAAAGTGTATTCTATTTTGGGCCAGGGATTTTAGCTCAGTGGTTTCGCCACCTGCTGCGCAAGTGCAAGGACCCGAGTTCGATCCCCGGTTCCAATAAATAAATAAATAAATAAAGTGTATTCTATTTTGACAGATCTTTAGTACTTACTTTGTTTCCATAGTACCCTTCAAAAGTAAGCTACAAACTGTAAGAAGCTATACACCAAGAAGCAATTTATCTATTTTTAAAAATGCAAAATAAATAAATAAATAAATAAATGCAAAATAAACTTCCTTTTTAAGCAAGTTGAAATGTAATTTGCACTGTAGCTATCTAATAGTCAGGTTGACTTAATTTGAATTTTTCACTAAGTAGCAAAAGAAGCAGTTTCAAATAAAAATATAATTTCTAACAAATCATACCATGAAGACTAGTACACATGATTATAGGAAATTTTAATTTTCACCTCTGAGCACATCTCCATCTTCCAAATTCACTTACTGATTCATACTGTATCAGTCAGTAGAAAAAGTACAGCCCCCCTAGGTTTGATCTCTACTACAAAAAAAAGGTGATTACACTGATTTATACTTAAGACTTTTTCCTTATTGTACATATTATTGCTGAGCAATTGTTCAATATGTCTAACAAAAATTCTCATTAAACACAGAAAAATTTCTAATAGATAATAACTTTGTCTCCTTGGAGTCTAAACAATTCAAGTGTCACTACTAAGAGGATGTTTTTTATGTCACACTTCAGAAAGAATTTTTAAAAATATTTTCCCAACGAAAGTTGAGTTAAATTCTGTCCCCCAATGGAGACTGTTCTTTAAAGTGGTTCTCAAGAGAGCAGAACTTCCCCAAAGGAACATTGCTAGTTACTAAAAAGACTGGAGGACCCTGCTGGCTTTTATTACTTGGAGGCCAGGATCTAGACTTCACACAATACATGGATGGAATGGATCTGTATAATCAAGATTTGTCCTGGTCCAGAGTCTTTTGAATGTAGGGTAGGATTAAACACACTATAAGTTAGCATTACTTAGGAATACAATATTGAAAAGTTTTTACAAGATATTATGGGAAACCACCCACCTTGTGCCCCATTATGAAGGAGAAAGTAGTGAGGGAAGCTTCAATCAAATAAGGAAACTTTCTAAAAATTAATGGTCATTTCCTCACACCACACATTGTTAACTCAACATACACTGCAGGATGATAATATGGAGCATATTTAGTATTTGCATATATACTAATAGTGTGAGGTAGCATGTCTCACTCATACTAGTGAGATATTGGTACTGAATCAAAAATTTCAATTTAATATTTATTATTATCAACGGTAAACAGCAGGAACCTGGATCTATCTCTTTTTTTTTTTTTTTTTTTGTACTGGGGATTGATATGGAGACCTTGCGCTTGCGAGGCAGGTGAAGGAACCACTGAGCTAAATCCCCAGCCCTGCCTAGTACTGTCTCTTGAAGTAGCCCTATGTCCAAGTTTGCGACACAAAAGATGCGCTACAATAGTGTGAAAATAAAGCGTGCAAGGAGGCGTAATACTACTTATGTGTTGACTGAAGAAGTTTGTAATTTACCTTGGCATGCTATCCCTAGTTCAATCTAAGTTGTTTCTCCTTTCTATAAGCATAAATAGGTTATTCCAACACTAGGTATTTTTTTCCCCTAGTGTCCATCTTTCTCTCTGTTATCTAGCTTTCTCTTTTGAAACAGCTCATAATACCAATCCAAATGTATTCATTAAAAACAGGTACAAGCAACCTAGCATATGGTGTCTTCTAGCACACCAATATGTTCTAGATATGATATAGCAATGCATGCCATATATCGTTCTCCTTTTATTTCTCCCTTACATTTAAGCGAAGCCATCATACTGACTTTCAACTATATACGAAGGTAGATTACATTATTTATAAATTTCACTTCAGTGTAGCAAAGTGGGCTTTGACAGAAGTTTGCCGTGAAGATGAGGGACCCTGATTCTGGGACTGGCAATCACTGTTCCAAGAGTAGAATCACGTGCTTCAACAAGAATCAAAACTTTTTAAAAAAGTTTCATTTGCCTAAGGCAAGCACTGGACTCCCAGAATACACTTCCATTCGCCCTGACACCCCACCGCTAGCGCACACCAGACGCTCTAAGGCCACCTCGGCTCCCACACAGGGCCAAACCAAGGTTCTTGAACGTTCAGGGGCCCGAAAACCTTCCAGGAGACGGACAAAAGCCATGGGAAGACCCTCTCCCAGGAAATTCGCACACCAAGTTACATTCAGTTTTAAAGGGATCCCTGACACCCACTGTGCAGCACCTCCACCCACCCGGAACCACAGGGAAAGCCCTGCACGCAGGGTCTGAGCAGGATGGGAGGCGAGCAAGGGGCGCGCCCACCGCGTCCCGCAGTGACTGGGGCAGGACGCTCCACCTCTCGGTGCAGCGCAGCGTGCGGCGCGAGCGAAGCGCCGGACACGCAGCCGAGGCTCCGTACGCCCCGGCCGGCCCGCGGCGCTACCCCTGGCGCCCGGGAAACGAAGGGGGCCGCTGGGTCGCCCCTCAGCGCGGGGACCGGCGGCGAGCGGCACTGGCCCAGGCGGCACCAGGGCCCCGGCTACCCCGCCCCACCCCGCCCTACCCCGCCCCGCCGCGCGCGGGTCCCGAGACGGCGCGGACCAGGCGGCACCGCGGCAGCCGCGGGACAGGCTAAGGCGACCGGTGAGGACGGGACCCGCCCGCCCGTCCCTCTCCCCGGTTCCCGGCTTCCCCGGCTCTCACCCTCTTCAGTCCCCAACCACCACCGCCAACGCCACCGCCGCCCGCTCTCACCTCCCAGCCGCCGCCGCCGAAACCGCCCGCGAGATCTCGCGAGATTTCGCTCAGCTCCGCGCTCCCCCGCCCTCTCCACTGTACTCTCGGACCCCTCCTGGAACCCGCTGGACGCGCTCCGCAGAAGCCACTCACCCCACCCCCGGGTCCGACCTGCTAGGTCTGGCTACTTACCTCCCCCGTTCCATTCCCGCCTCTGCGTCCATTCCATCCAACCCCCTTGACCAAAAAGGTTAAACCCCAGGTGCGGGGCGACCGCCCCCTTCTCACCTGGCCAGCCGGCCGCGCATGCGCGTGCTTGGGGCCCTGGACCCCAGTACTTGTGCAAACGCTCTGACCCCCTTGACAGCAATTGTAGTGGCCAGTCCTTGAGTGCTTACTGCATGCCGAGTACTTTGACAACTCCATTTGGGTCTTCACATCCCCGCCCCCCCCCAAAGTGGGTGTTACCCTCCTTCCCATTCCAGAGAGCAAAGGCTATTATAGACATGTCAAGGTGAAGTCCCTGGCTATGGTCACACACCTAGGAAATGGCAGTGCCAGCATTGGAATCCAGAGTTATCGGTGTGATGCCCACAACAACGCTCCAGTCCCACCTTCAGGACAATCCCTAGCCTCTGTCCCTCCTTGCCTGTGGGTGCTGCAACTGAACCCCATTCCTCACCTCCCCCAAAGCCAACCAAGATGACAAGAGGCACCCCTAGGTCATTTGCTATAATTCCAATGGAGCTGATGACAGCAATGTGCTTCTCATTGCTCGAACTTCCTCGGGCTTTCCTGTTCAAGACCCTATGTGCAGGGCCCTGAAAAACGATGTTGACATTTGATTTGTTGTGGCCTTATACGTTTTGCTGATAGAAAGCAGAATAGAAACAATGACACACAGGACATTGAACCAGAATGTACATGGCTTTAGGAAGAAGACATATTCACTTCTCGGGAAATCTTAACGTAATAATTGTTTCTAAAGAAGAGGAGCTAACATTTATTGAGGGCATATCAAAGTGGGTATCAATATTCTTCCAATTCTGTACATGGAACTAACATAATATTCAGAGTGAGAATTTGAACCCAGGTCTGAGTCCAGGGCCCAGCACTGCCTTATGGGATACTTCTGTTCTGCAAGCCAGCATGAGCTACCTCTTCTAGGCCAGCTGCTGAAAATCAGGAGCCTTGAGGTTCTAGTTTATCCCTTCAGCCTGCACCAAGGTCTCCCTAATGCTCAGATCCATGTCAGCAAATGCTGGCCCACCCATCCTCCAAGCCTGTCCACTCTCCCTGGAAATAATTCTTCTCTCTTGGCCAGAACTTATGAGTACTCCTGTATGAACCAACATGACCAAATCTACTAGGTAGAAGAGGGGATGAAATGCAGGAATCCTGTTCAACATGCAGCTACAAGATGCAGAGCACTGTTCCAGGTGTCCATTTATTAACTTTTTAGTTCTCCCAACAACTTTGCATTAGTCAGTATTCTCTGAAAAAACCAAACCAATAAGAAATAGCAATAGACATACGTATATAAGGCGATTTATTATAGAGGCTTAGAAGTCCTCTGTGGTAGACTGTCAGCAAGCTCAATAGCCAGGAAATTGGTTACATAGCTCAGTCCAAGTACTCAGTCATGAGAACCAGAGGAGTCACTGATGTAGCTCAGTATGAAGCTGAAAGCTTGAGAAACTTGGGAGCTGCTAGTACAAGTCTCAGTGTCCAAAGACCAGAAAATCTGGGTTTCCGATGTTGAAGAGAGAAAGACTGGTGTCCTAACTCAAGGAGAGAGAGAAAATTCACCTTTCTTCTCTGCCTTTTGTTCTCTTCAGGTCCTAAACTGATTGAGGTGAAACGTCTGTTTTTCCTTACTCATCCACTGATTCAAATTGCAATCTTTCCTAGAAACACCACCACAGATACACCCAGAAATAATGCATTAGCAGCTATCTGGTGTAGGGAACAGGGAAAGGGAACATTACTAGAACCTCAGCAGTAAGTCCTAGTCTCCTGTGAGCCATGACAGCACAAGTCAAATTAATTAATTAGACAGAAAAGATAGAAGAAATAAGACTTAGAGAAGAAGCTGAGCTTTGGGCCTGATCAGTGCTGCTCTGAGCAGCAAAGACAACAGCCCCGGGAGCTTGCTGTACCCTTATTCAGTACATCAGGAGAAACAAATGTAACAGATGACTCAGGGCATAGAATTCAGTACATGGGAGAGTAACAAATGTGAAAGGTGACTTGGGACAGGGGCAGCAGCTTCTCGAAAAACCTAGAACAATGAGGCACTATGCAGATGAAGATTTTGTTCCTCCCAGAATGTCTTTAGCTGCTGTAATCTTGTCCTGGAGCATCACAGCATCACTGGATCATTGAAGTTTTAGCTGTGACCAGAGGCCAAAATGGAGTTATGTCTCAACATGCCATAGCTGGCCTGTAGGCAGGAGAACTAGGCCTAATCAAATGATTTTCCCCCAAAATTATGTAGAATTGCTCCAAGCAATCTGGATATTCTTTACCCAGTCAAGTTGATCCCTAAAATTAACCATCACAAATCCCCGCAGGAAAGTTATGGTTATTTCCATTTCACAAATGAAGAAAACTAGAGCCTAAAAGGTGAGGGAACTTGGTTAAAAGCCCATAGTTGGTAAGCAACAGAGTTGGGGTTCCACCCAGGTCAGTTGGTCTGCAAATCCACAAACTGACCTTGGTGACCAATAAGGCTCTTCTCTACCTCCCCCAAAGCCTATAGTTTTATAACACATAAAATGTAAAACTCCCCTGAAGTCAAGACTCCAATCTAAGATCTGTATGTTCCCCTTGGGGTGGACTATGCTTCAAGATTCTCATCTAACATAAGGCTATACATTGGCTGTTGGGAGGATTAACCAACTTAATATATCTGAGGCAGTATATAAAAGTGCCTAATACAGATTAAACATTTGGTAAATTATAGCTATTATTACCACGGGTGAGTTCTCTGTGATAGTTTCTTTGTTCCTCATCTCCCAATATAAACTCCAAATCACACTGAAAGATGAGCTCGGACATGGGAATAAAATTAGTTTCCAACACACTGAAAACAACAACGCTTTTTTAATGGACAGAATTACCCCCAGCAATTCCTCCTGATCACAGTAGGCCACTCCCTCAAAGCTCTTGCTTCCCAGTTTCCTGGGATAGTAACAGCCTGTTTTATAAAGAGCTCCCCTTACATAGAAAAACCTACCCAAATATTTTTTTAAAAGATTTGACTCTGAAAGTTCCTTCATAAGCAAAAACAAAAGCAGCCAGGGGCCAGAGATCTAGCTCAGTGGTTTCGCCGCCTGCTGCGCAAGCTCAAGCACCCGAGTTTGATCCCTGGT